AAAAAAAAAGTTTGAGTATGATCACTGTTACAAGAACCATCACAGGACCTCCAGCAATATGGAAGCTTCCACAGCTAAGAAAAGTGAAACTGCCTGCTCTCCCCGCCCTGTGCGCTGGTGCCTATAACTGCAGCGTGCAGCCTCGGGACTCCCGTAAGAGCAGACCCTCTGACTCCTTCCTCTCTGTGATCTCTCTATCCCAGATGGCCTGCCTTGTTCCTCTTGTCTCAGGATTTTAGACAGCTTATCTCTCCACAGGTGATTTCTTCTATCATCCTAGTTGCCTCGGCCACTTCTTTAATGTGGGGTGAACAATAATTGGAAAATAACAATAGAAGTGTTGGCTCTTTTGTTTGTGTAGTTCTTTTTGCATACTGAGTATTTTTACTTCTTTAGTACATGTATGATATATAGCAGGGGTGGTGAGGGTAACAGATGCAGGAGCAGGCTGAAAGCAGGAACTATCACGTCAATGAGGCTGTCACTTGTCCACAGCTCCCCACCCAGCACGTGACGGGGTCTGGTCTGAACCAGGGTCTTTCCTGTCCCACTGCATCACCTGAGCTGTACCAGAGCGTAGTTCCCCCTTAGTTTCAGCCTGCATTAAACATCCTAGTCTTCATCGCAGGGATGATGGAATCCTAACCTTTTCGGAGACACCATGCTCTGTCACAAGCATTGCTCTTTTTAAGAGAGATTAATTCACTTGCTACATTTTGGTCCCTTGGTGAAAATCACTGTGGAGAGCAAGGGTGGCTTTCTGCAGCCTTCAGTTCTCTGGGGCTTTTTCAGCCACTCGCAGCTGGTTCGGACTTTGAAATAACTTCCTCCCCAGCTGGCCTGGGACTTTGAAATAACTGCCTGCTGGGCATTCACTTGCAAAACACCAAAAAGGGATGGAGGGAACCTGGCTTGTGAAATCCTAACTTTAGTGGCTGCTCCCTGTAGAGGGAAGCTGGAGAGGACTCCAACTAGCTGTCCAAGAGGAATAGTTGTTTGTCTTTGGGTTTGCTTTTGGAAGATTCTGTGATGTTGTGTCCCTTCTGTTTCTTAGAACTGCCTTGCACAGGAGAGCCCAGATACATAGCTAGTAAGCCGGGGAGCCTTGCACTGCAGACTGTTGCTATTTGCTGTTACAGTTCAGCCAAAAGAGCTAGCTCCCAGTCAGGAGGTTTAGATGGGGCTTGCAGGCTCGGTGAAGAACGCTGAGCTGTGTGACCTCTTCATCGTTTTCACTCCTGTGGAGCTGGCAGGAGTTGGTCCTGCAGCTCACAGACATGATCTGCCTGCCTGGGGTGTTTGACTACTAGGTAACAGGGCTGGTATTAGAACCCAGGACCCCTGACTCTGATAACAAGCTGAGGGAAGCTACCATTGCCAGCAGTCCTTTCTCTTACAAAGAAATCCTGCAAATACTGATGATACAACCCCAGAATGCAGGCAGCTTGAAATTGTTGGTGAGCATCACAAATTAAAATAATGTTGTGGGGCCCCGTATGGAAGTCCTCGCCTTGCACAAGTAGGACTCCCTACTTGTGGCCTGGGAAGTCAGCCGAGGATGGTCCAAAGCCTTGTGATCCTGCACCTGTGTGGGAGACCCAGAAGAGGCTCCTGGCTCCTAGCTTCGGATCAGCACTGGTCTGACCGTTGCTGCCACATGATGAGTGAATCAGTGGACAGAAGATCTTCCTCTCTGTCTCTCCTCCTCTCTGTATATTTGACTTTCCAATAAAAACAAATCTTAAAAATAAAATACCCATCTGTTTTAAAAAAAAAAAACAACATTTTGATAACCTTTATATTCATTAGACAGGCAGGAATGAGGAAGCTGGCTGCTCCCCCAAGTGTTGGCAGAGAAGGAGGTACCCAGAGGTACCACTGTCCTGCTGATGGGAGGGAGCAGGTATTTTGGAAAGGACCATGCACTGCTAGGTCACATTAGTGTCCTAATAGCCTAGTCTGTTTCAGGACTGTGCTCACACGATCCAAAGGGGACATGCAAGGGGAGGTTCTTGAAATATTGCTTTTGCTGCTGAGATAGGTGGACACCAGGGTGAGCATGCTGGGAGGCCAGAGAGAGAAAATGTCATGATGTATCCAGGACTCCTTATCCCCATTTTCTTTCAACATTTGTTTTTATTTATCTAAAAGACAGGATTATACAGAGAAACAGATTTCCCAATTGCTGGATTGCTCCCCAAGTGGCTGCAGGAGCTGGGTTCTGCTAGGTCAAATCCAGGAGCTTACAGTTTCTTTGAGCTCTCCCATATGGGTGACAGGGGCCATTTTCTGCTGCTTTTCCTAGGTGCATCAGCAGGGAGCTGGCTGGGAAGTGGAGCAGCCAGGACTCCAACTAGTGCCCATATGGGATCTACTGTCTCATGTGATGGCTTAACTCACTGCACCGTAATACCAGACCCCAATCACCATTTTTTATTTTCCTTCAGATTCAGCCTACTGAAGCTATTTGATCATTTTTCCCCCTTCAAAACCTTGAATGACAACCCTGCTATCTTTAGTAAAAGGCTATCGAATATAAATTTTCTTCCCATTGCCAGCTTTAGTCAGTTGACTGTGGCTTATTGAAGTATGTGTTAGGGAAGATTCTGAGGTTCTTCCAAAGGCTCCACAAGAAAAAGCAGCTGAGAGGATTGTTGCTATCCGTCTTAGGCACAGGAGTCAGGCATCCATCAGCCCTTCCCACTGAGATTTTATCCCAGGGCCCATTACGATATCACAGGAGTTATTGAACTCATGGACATCATATATTGAAACAAACAAAAAAATTGAATATCTGTGTGTTCTGTGTTGTTTTCTGCAGGAATTTTTGTCATATCCTCACGAGAATTTACAGTTCAAAAAAAGCCAATACTCACTGCCTGGGCCTGCTGCTGTGGCATGAGACCCTGTGTAGACCCAGTATGTCTCCACAGTTATCACTGCTGTGCACCGTCACTCAGAGAGTCTGCCTGAGGCCTCTTGATTTTGCCTTGCCTGCCCCCAGCCAAGTCTTTTCCTCAGAAAACTGAGTTTGTTCAGCCTGCCCTGATTGCCTTATCCTTTTTGGATTGAGGTCTGTTCCATCAGAGCCACTGTTGGTATTAGCCTGTTCTGGGAGGACCCGGGAGCTTTTTAAATTAAGAGAGAGGTGTTATGATAAAAATGTTTGGCTGACAGAAAATCCAGTGCTGGGGTTCTCAGCCCCCTGACAATTTTTGGCCATAGAAATTATCTTTGCCCAGCAGAGGTTGAGTAATAAATGGACCTGGACTTGCTCAGGAGTCCTCCAGACCTGAGGTCAGTGCTGAGGGCTCCCCAGCCTGCTCTCCTGACATTTGCCTTCCTATTTTGTGTCCCGATCCTGCCAGATCTCGGTTAGGGTGCTGTAGTCTTCACAACCCCCTCTTGGTGAGGAGCTGATCCCATTTCCTCGACTGATTGCCTCTTTGGTCCAGCTCTAAACCCTTTATCATCACGCTGATAGAGAGGCCTTCCTGGTCTTTGAGACCAGATCAGGTTCCCTTGTGCACCTGTGGTCCCCATTTGCAGCACTCGTGAGAAGTATAGTTCTGTGCCTGCTGGGATGCCTGTGTTGTTTACTGCCTACCTATAGTAAAAGGCACGCAGCCATCCCAGCAGAGCAGGATGAGTGCTGTATGATGTTTCTCAGCCATCCTCCCAAGCCTTAGCTACCTGTTGGCAGCACACGGGCTTAGTGGGCTGGTACAGGAGAGCGTTTCCTCAGCTTGGGACTCACAATCGTGTGAGGAGTCCCAGCCACACCTTTGGACTCTTCTCATCACCCCTTGGGGTTGAACTGCTCCAAAGAGTAGACCTTCCCAATTGCCTGGCCCTTCTGCCTTTTCCTCACAAGGAGATGCTGGTGGTAGGTGAATCACTCCTAACCCTGCATCTTCCCCTTTCCTGGCACAGTTGTCTCTGATTTTGTGCTGGACCAAGCCCTACCACTAAGTTATTTGCTTCCCTGAAATGAACCCCGTGTCTCCTCACCCAATCAGCATCTAGCATGGGATCAAGCACGTGTATATTGATTTGCTTTCAATAGTTCAGTCTTGGTCTTTCACATCACTTGTAGGCAGGCTCTGTCTAGAGAAGATGTTGTGAGGCAAGAAGGGGTGAGAGCTTTAGTCATTACTGACATGATTTCTAGTCACTGTACTGCCCTGTGCTGGTTGTGTGACATTGAGAAAGTCATATCTTCATTGAGCCTGCCTCCCCATCCCTGAAAAAACTCCTTGGGTTGATCAAAGAGTAGGTGACTACAGAGTGTCTGTGACACATGCTCAGTAGGAGTGGGTTGTTGCTCCTCTTCTCTCTACCCCACATCGTAAGGCCCCTCTTCCTGGGACCCAGAGTCCAGACTGAGTAGTCTACTTTAAATCCTGTGCTTGCTAATTGGCCCAACAATATTGAACTGTGTACATGGCAATGACAAAGGTGGAAATGGGGTGCGAGTCAGCATTTCTAACTTTTTGGTCCATCTTTCCTAGTGTAGAAGGACTGTGAATTACCCAACACCACAGTATGGTTCAGTTTGAAGAATCAATCCTGTACACTGGGACTTGCTTAGCTATAGATAAGACCCAGCCTTAGGCATCGTGCTAGGTTAAGGAGCAGTTAAGGAGAGATGGGTGGACTGGATGAGTCAAGGAAGGCTTGTCAGGAGGTGTCACAGCGCAGGAGAAGGGCTGAGTGCTGGTGTGGGGATGGAGGATGGGGAAGACTCGTTGTGTTCTCAAGAGGCTGTCAGCAGGGACACTGGGAGGGCGGGGGGAGACAAGATGAAAAAGGCCTTGGGCTGTGAAGACCAAAGGAGCTGGGGCTGAGCATTTGAGTCTTCAAGGCCTCTTTCTAGACTCACTCAGCCTCACTGATTGTTGATTATCACTCCCTATTTATTGACTGTCACTTCTTCTGTCGTTATTTCCACCTCTATTTGGGATGAGCCATACACTGGAAATAATCTTTTGTCTGTTTAGGTTATTGTCAGAAGGTGCAGATGTCAACGCAAGGCACAAACTTGGCTGGACGGCGCTCATGGTGGCTGCCATCAACCGGAATGACAGGTAAGAATCTCCTTCAACATGGGGCCTCTCAGCTGGGACTCTGCAGACAGCCAGCCTGAATGTTCTCACGCTTGCCTGCCCTCACCAGCATGCACAGGGTGCCCTGGACCCACTGTAGATGGGGAGAGGGAAGGCGTAGCTTTGGATCTGAATGCGCCATCATTCACTGGCTTTGTGACCTGTGACAAATCATTTGCATTGTTGTAGCAACTAAATTTTTCTTAAGATTTATTTAGTAAAGATTTATTTATTTGTATTGGAAAGGCAGATTTACAAAGAGAGGGAGAGAGAGAGAAAGATCTTCCATCTGCTGGTTCATTCCCCAAGTGACCACAATGGCCAGAACTGAGCTGATCTGAAGCCAGGAGCCTGGAGCTCCCAAGTCTCCCAGGCAGGTGCAGGGTCCCCAGGTTTTGGGCCATCTTTACTGCTTTCTCAGGCCACAAGGAGGGCACTGGATGGGAAGTGGAGCATCTGGAACATGAGCTGGCACTCATATGGGATCCTGGCACATGTGGGGGAAAGATTTACAGATTAAGCCATTGTGACCAGACTTGCAACCAAATGTTTGAAATCCTGTCATAGGCGATAGAGTGTACATGCAAGTTCTCATTTTCTTGTTATCTACCATCTATTTGTGTTGTGAAGTCTGCAGTCACTGCCCCTTCTGAGAGGGCCAGTGTGCCGTTTTGCTATCCACTATTACACAGTACTCCATTCTCTTGGGATTAGAATGATTTTATGAAGATCAAAGTAACCCACTTTGTTTCTAGAGTTATCTTTGAGTTTCAACAACCCCAAAAATATATGAGCCTAGAGAGTTAACATGATTTGTATCAAGTCACGTGGATTTGTATCGAGTCACTTGGTTGGCTGCTGGCAGACTTTGGTGTTTTGTTCTGTGTCACACTGATGCTCCTGATGCCAGACCCAAGCCCAGTGTTGGATGCTGACTTTCCATCCCAGTCTGTGACAGTCCTGCCCTGGAGGCTCCTTTCATAGTTGGAGTTACCAATTTTAATTTTAATTCTCCTTCAATGAGTTTTCTTTTGTTTGTTTATCGAACTTACTTGAGAGGAAGAGCTGGGGAAGGAGGTGGATAGAGAAAGAGAAATCTTTGAACTACTGTTGGTTCATTCCCCAGATGGCCATAGCTACTGGGGCTGGGCCAGACTGAAGTCAGGAACCTGGAACTCCTTCCAGGTTTCCCATGTGGTTTGCAGGACCCCAAGCTCCTGAGCCATCTTCCACAGCTTTAGCAGGTACATTAGCAGGGAGCCGGATCAGAAGTAGAGCAGCCAAAATTTGAACTGGTGCCCATAGGAAAGATGGCTCAAATTGCTGAGCCACAACACGGGCTCCTCAAGAATTCATTGAAGATTTTGGGCCCAGCATGGTAGCCTAGTGGCTAAAGTCCTTGCTTTGCATGTGCTGCAGGATCCCATATAGGTGTCAGTTCTAATCCTGGCAGCTCCGCTTCCCATCCAGCTCCCTCTTGGGACCATGCATCCACATGGAAGACCCAGAGGATGCTCCTGGCTCCTGGCTTCGGATTGGTGCAGCTCCGGCCATTGCAGCCACTTGGGGAGTGAATCAATGGACAAAAGATCTTCCTCTGTCTTTTCTCTGTATGTTTGCCTTTCGAATAAACAGATTTTTTTAAAAAAATTCTTTGAAGATTTTGTTTACTAGTCCTGGCCATCTTTGCTTTCATAAATAAATAAATAAATAGCAATGAAATTGAGATTTTTGCAATATAGGAGTGATACTGCTTCAACTTAGCCTGGGAGATTTAGCCGAATTTTAGACACGTCTGTTTGCATTGCTTTTGTATTATAAACTTCTTTTCATTCAATTTCCTTGTTGGCTTTATCTCTAAGCACTTACTCTTTAAGAGAAAAATTGATATAGATAGTCTTAGATAATGCTTGCATGTGAGAGACCCGGTTGTGATTATTAGTTGAATTTCACAGCTTAATGACAATTTGTTTCACCCTTGGAAATTATTTCTCCAGACATTTAGTAATCGCCTACTCTGAGCAAGGCCCTGTGCTAGTCTTCACTGATCTTGGGAAACTTGCAACCTAATGCAGGAAAAAAACACATGTAAAAGCATAAGGTATCCTCATCAGTGATGTCAAAACAGTGTATCTAAGATGTCACTGGCCAGAGGGGCTGAGGACACTCAATCTGGCAGAGAATTTCCATTCTCCTTGTACTCTTTGGAGAATCAAATAAGATAATGAATGAATGCACCATAGGCTATAAATGATGAGTTATTGCCCCTGGTGCCCGCATTAGGCCTCTGTGACAAGCGAAACCCGGGTGTCTGTTCTCCGTGCTGACCCTCCACCCTGCCCAGCTGGCAGGCATTCCCACCCACAAGGACTAGCCAGTGGTGGTGAGGAAGGAGCCTGTTCCTTCTGTGGGTAGTGTTTTCAGGGCTGAGAATGAGTAGTAAGGCGGTATTCTTAAGAGAACTGTCAATTAGTGGTCAAATAGCTAATAAATGTGCTTGAAGGGGACACTTCTTGGTGAATCTAATGAGTTGTAGGTTTAACTGATTGTTCTGTCTTTATCCCGAGCCATTAGCAAATAAGTGATGCTTGTTGAGCAAAGTGAGAATGTTGACTTGTATTTACTTGCTTTGGTGCCTAGGACTAATTACCAGTGTTTTAAACATCCATTTTGTGCCTCTTCTTCCTTCCAGAATCAAGAAGATAGATATCTATTGTAGGTAGCATGCACTCTGGTCAGATTTATTTACTATAGAAATGTTTTTGGGCTCTACTTTTTGCATGTACTACCCTAGGTACTTGAAATAATGTTCAGTAATAAAGGAAGATTTCTGCCCACATAGAGCTGATTTCTCTACTAGTGGTGGTCCTATGGGGGAAGAGAGACAAAGACAGATTATAAACAATAAGGGGACAGGCATTGGGTCTGGAGGTTGAGACACTGTTTAAGAAACTCGTGTCTGGGGGGTTTGGTATTGGGGACAAGAGTAACTGTTTCGATTGCCCACAAAAATGAGATGAGGGTGTCTTATTTTGAGTCCTGGCTCTATTCCTAATTCCAGCTTTTTTTCTAATGAGCCCCTAGGAGGCACCAGATGATGGCTAGGTAGTTAAATCTCTGGCACTCATGTAGGAGACCTGGATTGAGTTCATAGCTTTTGGTTCTTGCCTGGCCTGGCCCAGCGCCAACTTCGGTGGGCATTTGAGGAGTGAACTAGTCAATGGGATATCTCTCTCTCTCTCTCTCTCTCTCTGTCTTTCAAACAAATAAATATAGAAATTTTAAAAAATTAAGAACAGCTTTAGAAAAGTAGAAGTCACCCACACTCCACATCGGCATACCTAGCTTCCATGTTCAGTTCTGGCTACTGGCTCCAGCTTTCTGAAGATGCAGACCCTGGTTGGCTCAAGTAGTTGGATTTCTGCCACCCACCTGGAAAATCTGGATTGAGTTGCCAGCTCCTGGCTTCAGCCCTGGGGTCCTAGCTACTGGTAGCATTTGGGAATGAACCAGCAGATGTACACTGGATCTTTCTCTCCACCTTTCAAATAAATGAATACCTATAGTATATAACTAAACTATTTGAAGGCAAGACATCCTGCAGGACAAAAGGAAAAGTAGAACTGATTAAAACAAAAATTCCAGAAATAAATTGATTGGAGTACATGGGTCTCATGGATAAAGTGCCTATGTGTGTAGCCTTGAAAGATTGCATTTGTACCACCACAGTCAGCCAGGGAGTCTTCATATTGCGGGCATGCTTATTCTCATTAATTGCCACATCTTCTGCAGTCATGTTGGCCAAGCTTGAAATTTCAGTGCTATTGAATTGGCTTTGGGTAAAGGGGTGGTATAGGGGTAGCAGAGACGTGTTCCCTCCTTTGGAATGCCTGCAGTGCATGGACTCAAGAGAAACACAGGGAGCAGCCCAGCTGTTTCACCTGCAGACACCTGTTTAGTGTGTGAAACCTTTAGGGATATAGAGTGTAACAGTCGGATTGTAGGAAATTTGTCTTCTTGTGAACTTGTATTTCTGTAGTAAATTTGTATTTGTTATTTTATTCCATTTTGAAAGGAAATGTTCTGAAGTACAGTAGCATTAAATTCAAAAAATGTGCACAGGAACTTAATTTATAATTTATTCCATTTTAGGAGGGTTTGAGTAGAATTTAAAATGCACGAATGAACAAAACAGAAGAGTTAAAACCAGATGAAGATCAGAAAGCATATTGGATCAGAAAGCTCATTTCATATGAGCCAGAAATGATTTTTCTGAAAACCGGTTTACTATTTTTATAGAGAAGAAGGTAGCAGTCACCTGAATTCCCTCTATCTGGAAATTGATCATTGTGTGAATACTCAGGTGTGTGTAGTTATACATTAAGGCTATGTTGAACTCATAAACTAGGTAGGTAGTGCAATTGAGTGTTAATTTCTGCGAAAGTTTTGACAAGACAAACAAGTAAAGACATTCCATTATTTAAGATAGAGGAGCTGTGTTCTGATGTCCCTTTGCAGTGTCATTTCTTTTATGTGGCCAGCAAACTTTTTCTGAAACTCTCCTGTGTCAGATTCTGATATGCTAGACTGTGGGAGATTGAGAGGAAGCAGTCGTAACATTTGCTTTGAGAAGCTTCCTCGGACTGCTGACATCAAGGGCTTGAGTAGTGTGGCCATTGTCTTCTGTTGCCAATCTGTCGAAGATTTACCCGCTTTATACAATCCTAGTAACAGCTTGGGTATAGTGTTGACTCAAGCAGCAGTCGTTGGGATCTGCCTCCTTCCCCACGGAGAGCTTCCTTGTAAGCCTCGTGCTACCACAACTCTTATGTAGCCTGAGTCTGGGTGCCTCGTTCTGCATTGCACTTTGACCCTGACCAACTAAAGACTTGAGTCACAGGGTCCCAGGATGATCACTGTGACTTAGCATAGCCCTCACCGGCTCGTGCAAATATAACCAGCCTTTACCTAAATTCAATTAG